CCCATACACACACAGGCGGAGAGGCCGGGGTCGGACCCCTCTTCAGGTATGGGCTGGAAGATGGATTTTTGTCTTCTTGCGATCCCTCAGGCAGGCACTTTAAAGGGGCCTGGGGTCGTCCCAGGGATGCAGCCCCGAGCTGCTGGAAGCTGTGCTAGCGTCTTTTGAGGTGTCCATGGGCCAGCGTTGGGGCCAGTGGAGAAGGGCTCCCGGAGCCTGCTGAGCTGGGTGAAGAGGAGCGTGGCTAGACGCAGTTAGATTGACAGGCACTGGCTGAACCTCAGGTCGGTGCGAAGGCGCGTAAGGTGCCTGTGGGTCCAGTTCCTTGCCCTGTCCTAGCGAGGTGGCAGGTTGGTTCCTATTCCCGTGAGGGGCGCGTAGAAGTGTGTGTCCTTAGCGCAGAGGATGGGGTGTGGACTGGGGGCGTCCGGAAGGCTTGGGGGAGAAGGGCAAGGCGCAGCGGATGCGGACCCACAGGTAGTAGCGTAGCAGGTGAAGTGATGCGGGAAAGGCCGCTCCTGGAGGAGCTCACTGAGCCGCCTCTGGCTCCGGCCCGCAGGTCTCGGGGGCCCTGCTCACGCTTGGGTGTCCGGCGTCCCCTCTGGGGGCACTGCTTCCGCCTCCAGCTGGAGAACCGGGACCTCCGCCTTCAGGGCTCACCCGGCCAGATGTAGCCCACCTGTATCTCCCTCTCCTCCGTCTGTAGCCTGAACCACATCTGCCAAGTCCCCTCTTTGCCAGGTAACACATGTATGGAGTCACAGGTTCTGGGCGTTAGGGTGTAGACACCTTCAGGCCGTGGTTCTGTGTACACACAGCAATACAGAGTGGCTGGTAGGTGCGTACCCCCCCCCAATACTGTGCCTCTGCGCCCCTAAGACTTCCAGGTGACCCTTCCTCCGGGAGGCCCTCCCCAGCCCTGTCCGGCTGGGCCAGGATAGGAGGTCTTCCAGCTTTTATCAACTTTCACATTTCACCTCTGCATCCTCAGAGTGGCTTCACGTGAGTGTGGACCCTGAGAAAGCAGACACCTACTAAGAAGGGCTCCTTGTAGCTAACGCCCGGCCATGGCGTACTCAGCCCCACGCTGGGCGCTTTATGTGCGGCGCCAGCTCAGCCAGGTTCGGTGAGCCTGAGAGGGCCGTGAAGGATGGAGAAAAGACAGACAAGAGAAGAAAGCTGGGTCTCGGTGGGACGCCGTCCTCTCTGATGGAGAGCTAGCGATAGCGCCACAGACTACACACCGTGTCTTTATTTCATAGCAGATTCCACGGGGCAAAGCAAGGGCATGGTCAAGATGTTTACAACATTCTCCTGGGTTTCAATCCTACTCAACTACATGCACCTGAACTCTATCAAGCCCACATCACTCAGGCACGTGGGGCCACGTGTTCGGACCATAGGTGCAAGCTCACAACCACAGCTGTTGGCTATAACTGTGCTGGGAGGGCCCTGCCCTCCAGCTGGGACTTGCACGTGGCAATGAGAGGACTGTGCCCCCTCAGTCCGAGGTTTGAACCTGTCCAAACACTAGCCGCTCCCCACACATTTGCATGAGGAAAGGCCAATCACGGACCAGGGGCGGACCTTCTGTCCAGATAAACCAGCTCCCGGTGGTATGGAAAGCCTCTTTCCCCTCCACGGAAGACTCCTCCCTGCGTGAGCAGAAAGGAAAGCCCGCGCGGCCTGAGGCAGCAGGGAGCGGAGCAGAGCTGTCTCGGGCAGGGCCTGGCCCAGGGCTGCCTCACAGCTGGGCTGTGTCACTACTGGGCTGTTTTGCACTGACCGTTTTCCTCCTCTGTTGTACCCCAAAGTGGGGATTGCTGCGGTCGACGGTGCCAAGGACCCCCACCATTGATTGCCATGCCGCTGGTGCTCCTGTCGACCTGGGGGGTGAGGGCTGCTCCTGCTGGCACGGGTGGGCTCGAGGCTGCAGGGAGCAGGACAGGAGAGCCTGCCTGTCCTGGGCACCGTTGTCCATGGGGTGGGAGCGGGCAGACAGAGCCCAGCACCTGGCTCGTTACTGTTGCAAATGCCGCTTCTGTTAAGGCCGCTTTCGTGTTCTCTGTCGTCTCTTCCCCAGATGTCCTCGGGGGAACGGTCACATTTTTACCTTTGGAAGAAGATGACCAAGGCAGTTTGAAGGTTCAGATGAGCAACGTGTATCAGATTCAGCTCCGCCGTGGCCGTGAAGAATGGTGAGAGCTAAGTGTTGGCTCCTCCTCAGCGCTGCTCCTGGCAGCTGCGCGACCCGGGCCAGGGCAGAGCTAGCTGAGGGGCTCTCAGGGTTAGGGCTCGTGCGAATTGCCTTCTACTGGCGTTTCCACGCGCTTCTGTTCCAGCTGGTGCCTGGCCTGCGTGTGTGGTCACGGCCTGGTGGGAGTCGAGTCCCTACGTCACTTAGTTTTAGCAATGAGTTGAAGCAAACTCACATCCCTTTGTTATTTTATTTCTTACAACTTGGTAATGGAGAGTGAGTATAAGTTTGTTTATTTCTTGCCGAGGCCTACGTGGTTTTAGATATAGTGGGTAGTTAGTAAGCTTGTTGATGCCGTGCCAGGAGCTGGGCAGAGCGCGACAGCACAGGTGGGAGTCGGGACCTGGCCGTGTTCTGGTGCCGGAACACACCGTGGGCAGATGGGCCTGGGAACGGCGCGGGGCCTGCGAGTGTGCCCTTACGCTGCGCTGAGCTCTCGGCTCTCGGGCCAGCGAATCCCTGCCGAGCCAGCACTCACGTGTGAGCTGCCGTGTGGGAGGCGCGTCCGTGGGCTGTGGAGCCTGTGGCTGGTGGTGCAGTCGCAGGGGGAGCGTGGTGGTTCATGGCCTCGCCTCTGGCGGGCTGGTGGGGGTTCCGCGTTTAACAGTGTTGGCAAGAGAAGTGGAACTCTTTCTGCTTCTTAAGTGTGTTTTTCTCTGTCAGATGAACATTCTGTAGCGTGTTCCAGGTGGTTTTGTGTTTGGGTAGAATATTGGGTAACTTAGCTGCCTCCTCTCTCCTTTGTTAAACAGGTTACCTATAAAGAACTGAGACCAGCTCTGCTTATTCGTGTTTCTCTTATTTTTAAAGGTTCATATCTGTTTTGATTTTCTGTCCAGAAAGATGGCAGTCGGATGGGACTGTGTATCCCAAACCCGCCTGGCTTGGGCGCGAGCTGCCGGCCAGGCTGGCCCGGTGGTCTGTGGCGAGCGGGAGCAGTGGCTTCAAAAGCACCCTGTCCCTCCTCCCCATCCTCAAGTACAGCCACACCCACCAGGAGCTCAAAGACAAGTACAAGCACATGGTCCAGGTAATGCTGGGACATCGGCCGCCTGCGCAGGTGGGATCGCTCCTGCGTGGTTCCGTTCCCCCAGGGGCGGACGCTGTCGGGGTGCCCGCCTGACATTGCACAGCTGTGCCCCGACGTGCTTAGGGCTGCAGACCACAAAAACTCCACAGCCTTATCGTGGAAAGCAGTGTATTTACTTTTTGGCACATGACTAAGTTTTCCCCCAAGAAAACAAACGGGAAATTCTAGTATTTAATTTTAAATAATTGAACATTAAATTAGTTACTAAATCACCATAATTCTCTGGTTTGAACTTAAAGGTATTTTAAGAAAATTTATGAAACTTAAAGTACAAAAGTACATCCTTACAAAAAGGAGGTAACTTTTGTAATGTGTCCTTAACTTTCTAAGAAGTAGAAAGCAGGAAAGGACAAACACAGGTGTTCACATGGAGCTTAAGGAGTACAGCATCATTAGCGGAGTTGAGCTTGCTTTTTACTCTTCCCCGTTCACACCTCCCTCCCTCCTTGAAGCAGCTGCGACCTGACATTTCCGTGGGCCTTGTGCTGTCAGTCACCTGTCGCTGTGTGACACAGCACCCGGCCCCGGGCTGGGCAGCACCCTTAAAAAACGTCCTGCTGGGAGGTGTGCAGGGTCTGGAGCCCGGCCGCGGAGCCCTGGGCTGTCATGTTAACGGCGAGTAAGGCTCCTTCTCGGGAGCTTTCGTGTTCTTCCAGTTGTAGATGGTTCGTCCCGACCGTCCGGCCCGCTCTGCTCTGACTGGCACAGAATTGGGGTGTGGAACGTCAGCCATTGGCTTTTCATCTTCCGCCAGCCGCCTGTTCTGCGCAGTGCTGCTGCTGTTTTTTGTTTTGTTGGGGTTTTTTAGAGACAGCGAGAAAGAGAGGAGGAGGAGAGAGGTAGAAACATTGATGATGAAAGAGAATCATCAGTTGGCTGCCTCTGCACCCCCTACTGGAGATTGAGCCAGCAATCTAGGCATGTGCCCTGACTGGGGATCGAACCCGTGACCTCAGTGCATGGGTTGATGCTCCACCGCTGAGCCACACTGCACATTGTTCATGTTAATAATGAGACCCCTGCTTGCACATCCAGGGTCATCCTGTGGGGTCGTTGAGCTTTATTCCTGCTTTACAGACAGGGAGGCGGGGACGGGACAGCCAGTCCCTGCAGACCGAGGCTCGGAGCCCTGGTCCTGCCCCGGCTCCTTGGCTCCCCATCCACCTCGCTTCCTTGCTGCTCATCCTCATCTGGAGAAGGGCCAGGCTGCTAGCGAGTGTCCTGAGGTGCCCAGGGCCTCCCTTAGTATCTGCGTGCCTCGTCTTTACTGCGAAACCTGCCTGGGATGGCCTCGCTCTGGCGCGTCCTGGGCACAGATGTCTCACTGCCAGGGCCTGTGAATTTCTGCCTTGGGAACAAGTTTATGTTTTAAATGTTATGGCGTCATGAGTCCAGGGTGACTTACGCCTGTGGCTGTACTAAGTGTTGAGACGTGGTGGAGACGGGAGAATGACGTGTGTCCTCGGGGACCTTTTCAGGTGTGGCCTGAAGTGACTGATCCTGAGAAGTTCGTGTATGAAGACGTGGCTATTGCTGCCTACCTGCTGGTAAGGACGCACCTGACCAGGCGGGCGCGGCGTGGGGGAGGGGCCGCTGGCAGGGGCTGCCAGACCCCCGCTTAGGGTGCTCGCCTCTGGGCAAGGCTGGTTCCACACAAAACGTTCACTTTTACTAGTAACTTGCCCGAGGGTCGCAGCGGGTGCGCTGGGCCGCCTGCCTGGGACTCAAGCTGAGCAGCGCTTCCATGGTAACAGGTGCCAGGGGAGCGCTGGGCGCCCATTGAGGACGCGCCTTCCTCCCAGACTCGGGTCCTGGCTGTGGGGCGTTCCTTACCGGCTTCTCCCCACCTACGTGTGGATGTGCCCTGCCTCGCTGCTCTTGGTTTTTTACCTGTAAAATGTTTAGGTATCTTCCAGTTTCATCTCAACCATAATTCTTAGTCTCTTAGGAAGAGCATGATTTTGTTTGATTATCTTTGTGCACGAAACTTCAAAGAACACAGAGAAAGCAGGAACTACTCTCAAGTGGCTGCCCAGGGACGACCCCTTTAATGTGGACTTGCTGGCAGGAGGGAGCCCTGCTGCACACAGCGCCACCCGCGCCCGCCCACCCGCACCTGCCCCCCTCCGCAGAAGCCCAGAACCTCAGAGAAGCCTCCACCCGCTCTGAGAGCGCCAGTAGTCACATGGGGCTGGTGTCTGAGTTTTCCGGGTTACAGTGAATTACACGCAGACTTTGTGTTTTCTATTAGGTCCTATGGGAAGAAGAGCGAGCCGCACGGGGCGTGACAGCTAAGCAGTCCTTTGTGGACCTGGGCTGCGGAAATGGCCTCCTGGCGCACATCCTGAGCGAGGCGGGGGTAAGGCAGGCCCGGGGCCTGGCGGCGCCTTTCCCAAAGGGTCCTCACGCCCGGCACAGGCTCGCTGAGCGCTTTTGCCAGTGCTACCAAGGCGAGCGGCCTGCCGTGGGCACGGGCTGGCGGCCATGGCGTGTTGCCGAGGGCGGTGCACAGGAGGGCGGTGTCCAGGAGGTGCTCTGGGGGCGGGCGCGCCAGGAAACGCCAGGCTTCAGCAGCACAGGTGTTGCTGTTGGATGTTTCCTGCGGGAAGCCCACCGTTTCAAGGCCCCGGAGGGGCAAGGGCAGGGCTTCTGCCTCGAGAAGCTGGAGTCCAGCTCAGGATGGCCCGGGCGCTATGCTGTGAGCCCGTGGGGCTCACTGGCCACCACTGCCTGGTCAGTGAGGTGCAGGTGGTGGCGCTTAGCACCGGCCACAGCACCCACCCCACTCCCGCCACATCTCTGCCTGCCCGGCGAGTCCAGTGCGCTAGACAATCACCTGGTCCCCCGGCACAGCCGGCTGGGCTCAGCAGCCTCACACTCAAGGGTCAGCTGGGATTGGAAGCCCAGTGCTGACCCCGAGGCTGACATCTGTCCGCCGCAGCCTCTGCCTGGCGGGTCAGACACGTTTGTCCTCCTGGCGGGGGCTGGGACGGGCTCGCAGCATGTACTCCCTGAGCTGCTTAGAAGAGTAACTGATACTGTAAACAGGTCGCTGCGTGTTGGCCCGTTCGGTGGTGACCAGGAGGTGGTGGGGGAGGGCAGGGGTGTGAAATGCAGGTGCCTGTGAGGGCTCGAGTGTGGTCCCGGAGTGCGGTCGCTGTGTGCCTGGTGCCAGGCCACCAGGATGGACTTGGGCGGGGGTTGAGGGATGCGAGCTGGACCAGGAGCCAACTGCGGTCTGAACCCGACGGCCGAGGTGCCTCCCTTTCCAGGCCTGTCTCCTGGGCTCCAGCCAGAGCTGCTCCCCGACCCCCACCCCCACCCCCACCCCCTTGCTGAGCCCACAGCAC